TTTTCTGCGCACCTCCAATTGCCCACAGGAGGACAAGTGCCATGGTCATGGCTTCACTCACTGTGGCAGACCTTGTGGTGAACTCCCATGCTTACCCCGAGAAGAAGCGTTCCTATACTACAGCCATCCAATGCATCGCCGGCGTGGGAATCTCCAAATCGGACCTATGTGCAACACTTCGTGAGAAAGTGGATGAGTGGCTTGACACTGAGAAGGCGGCACCAAAAAAGAAGGCTAAGGCTGAGAAGGCACCTAAGGAGAATGGCAGCAAGAAGCGAAAGCAGTAGTGATGCAGGGCTACTTTTGTGACTGCTTGGCAGCAGTTTTGGCAGGTTGGCAGGTCCTTGCCCTTAGCCCGGGTTTCAGCCCCGTACTGGCACTGGAGGTAGCCTCTCAAGGTGGATGCCAAATACAGATACCGGTGGATTCCGAATAGGTTGATTGATAGCCTAGTCTAGCATGGTCACTACTCTGAGAAAGGAGTCAGACAACCAAATGGTCTACAGGATCTTTGTGGTTGAGCCAATTGCAGTGACATGACCAAAGTCCTGAAGCAGTGACAGGGACGGGATGGGCAAGGATATCGTAGGGTTTTCCGATCTCACATCTCAGACTCATACTCATACTAGCATAGCCAGATCGCATTGGGTAAGAAAGGTTTGCCTGCAGAGGAAGTTCAGTTGCTTGGCCTTCTTGGACTGGTCGTGTGGTCTTACAGTATTGGACTGGACTGACTGGACTGATTATATTGGACCAAAGGTTTGGCTTTGGGTTGGTGGAATGAAGCTTGTTTATGATCTGGAGTGACATTGGGTTGATCAGTCCATTACTCATTACATTATATTATATATAGTTATATAACCAAATTAAACACAAGCACTTTCTAGTAGTGTACTGCCCCAAGTTCTTGGGCATTGAAAAGGACACATTGCCACATTGCTGCAAAAGTACAAAGTGGAGACAGTGGAGGTGGCAAATATTTAGAAATTATGGTTCTGGAGAAGGCCTGAAATAGGATAGAGAGGAGAATACACATGCAAACATATTTAGTATGATATAATATATATATATAAGACTAATTATCTAAATAGTTTTGGGTAGTTTGGACATAGTTTTTAGTAGTTTTTGAAATAGCGCTCGAATTTTTTTAGAAACAGTCCTAGATCTCCACAGTTAAAGTAGCCATGGCCACTTGCAAGCTTTAGCTGTCCTTTCCACAGAACTTGCCTGGAGGCTTAGTATCCGACCTAAACAACGCGACATGTGTTTGTTCTGAGTTTCTGAATTTACCAAATCTGCAGACATGAATGTACTGTAAACAGCAGCAAATTAGCCGGACGCGCCCGCGCGGCACAGCGGTCTAAGCGCAGCTGCTTAACCATCACCATAAGAACCCCTAAGTGTGTCCACATTGTTTGTGTCCCCTTTCATAGATATTCGAAATGAAAGATCCCTCAAGACATGACTCCCCATGCCTTGTGGGGGGGGGCACCCCAAAACAGCGTCCGTTGCCTGAACCAGAGCTGGGTTTCTTGTGGGGGGTCACTGCCCCGGCTCGTCGACTGACTATGGAACCTCGGAAGTTTGGGTCCTCACTCCGAGTCTCTCGGAGGTGCGAGGCGGCGTGGAACCCAAAACATGTTCAACTCGACCGCATCACTCGCATCTGCGACGCGTGCCAGCCAGCGGATCTGGAGCTCGAGGTTACCTCCGCGGATAGGTGCTGTGGTAGATGCAAGCAGTAACTCTTGATCTGAGTTTGTCTTGAAGTGAACAATTGCTACTCAATATTCACCTCGGGCTCTTTCGACCAAGCCAACCTTTTGGGCCTTCCCATTGCTTTAGACTGGTGGTGAGAAAGTCAAGAACACGAAGCAATCAAGGTTACCCTGGAAAATCTGAGGCTAGGCTGGTGGGGGAGAAGCTGAGAAGGTCAGGAACAAGCTAACTAGGGAGTCGCCTAGGCAAGCGGCAAGCACGATGCACGATGTGCAGCAAGACAATTTGAACCAAATGAAAAAACATGAGGCAATGTAGACTCAAGATTTAGAACAACAGAACATCTATCTCGTTCCCCTGGTGACTTTTCAGGATGTTGGCGGATGCCGTGTGATCCAATTCTCGGTTTGATCTCAGCTATCGAATCTGAATTCTGAGTTGACCTGTACCATCAGCAAGCAACAACAGCAAGTGTCATCATTGTCATGTTCATGCCTGTTCATCACCCAACCAACACCCTCCTCCTCCTCCGCCTCCTCATCATCATCATCATCATCACGGCAGCATCATCAAAGTGTAGAGATACAGGTGCATTGCCAGACTGAACAAAACGTGTGCTACACACCTACAACTTGTATCATTATCATTGTGGTGAAGTAGGTGTATAAATACAGGTGTACATGAATGTGTGTGTACATACAGGTGCGCAATACAGCGACATTAAAACCATGTGTAAAGAACTAGGTGAACAAATGCTAGTGTATTACTATAAGGTGGTGGGGTGGCCCGGCGGAGGCTTCGGACGCGTTGAAAGGTGACCATTTGACAGCCAGTACTTGCAAAGAGAAGCAAGTTTGCGTTGTCCATAGGTGACCCTCTACAGGAATCATGTGTGTCGTGTGTGCAAACATGAACCTGTTGTTGATAATCAGGGTGACGCCTAAAGTGTAACTTACTTTGTCTGAAATCCAGAGAGAAGGGCCTGGGAGAAGGGGCGAGTGCTAGAGAACTGGCAGGTGCAGGTGTTGGACATGAAATGCAGATTTCGTGGCACTAGGGTCTACGCAATGAATGTGAGCTGCTGTCGGAAATTGAAGATTAGGATGGCAAAGTGAGAGACTGTCATCCGAAATGGACAATTGTCGTTGAAAACCGCCGCGCTGTGGTAAGCACGTAGTGCGCGGAGTTTGTAGCACAAATGAAATACGCGGAGTCACTTCTGAGAGCTCTGGGCTCAGACTGGGCTCGATCACCCGCGCATGGCCCCGTGCATTGGCTAATGGGATGCACGCATGTGTAAATGCATCGTGTTGCTGGGAGCGGACAAAAGGTGGTATCAATGAAGCTGTTGCTTCACTGTATGTGCTTTGGCATAAAGTGTGGAGGATGTCACCACACACGTCACTGCAGGAACAGGAAGAACAAGAGTTTCCAAAAAACTAACGACAGTGTGCTCCTGAAGGCAACGGCGGCGAAAGAGAAGTATCCCAGGGAACGGATGAGTTTCTTTGTCAGCGCCGGTCTGATAAGCACCCCTCATGCCCGCAGTCAGCATACTGCAACTGCGCAAAAATTAACATAAAGAGTTATCCTGCGTGCTCAGCAGGCACACATGCACAAACACACGCACACACACACACACATCACGCCTTCGCGCATTGCATCACCACATCATTCATCATCGCATCCGCTAGACTTTATTGCCGGAATATGTTCTTTCTTGTTAAATTGTCTTACTCCTCTGGTGTTTCGGGCCGCCCCGTCGCCACTGTCGCATAGGGGTGCTCGGATCGCTCCCCTGTCAAGTGTTTCTGACTTGTTGCCAGCGCCAAAAGATGTAGCTCTACTTTGTTTCCGAAGCCCAGTGGCTGCTTTCTACAAAATGGAGCAAAGAAATCTGCCTGTCCTCATCTGTCAACGATTGATTGGAATCACCAGGCCTTGAAACTGCAACATAATACCCAAATTGCCCTTAACTCTGGGCGGCCGGGGGCTAGTCAAGCACAGCAGTGTTGAACTGACGTAGCCAGGCTTTGGCACGTCAACACTTTCCTGAACAATGTGTCTCAGACTTCAGCGTGTTCAGTTTGAGAGCTGCCCAAGACTCGATTGAGCGCTGCGCCCCGCATGACACATGACCCAGGCCCTTTGGACTTTGGACATAGATGCACTCTAGTAGCAGCAGGGTGAGGGGGGCCAAGCGACCAAAAGTATGGACAAAGAAAGAGCTTGGGTAGGCATGAGCTTTACAGCCTGGTGACATTGCGAGTGGCAAACAGGACGTACATCAAAATGCGCTTTCATTTGCCTTGTTGAAGTACATCACTTCACCAACAGTCAAAAGGTGCCACTTCACCAAGGCCTCCTGACCTGTCACTTCAATCGGGGCCGCCAACAACAACAACAACAACAACTGATCATCATGGGTCTTCTAACTCAGCATTGTGAAGGCAAAGATTGCAGGGAGGCATGACCAAACAGCATGGCACAGTGACGTCCACAGCGTAGTCTCCAACCACAGCACGCGCTTGCAAGCACATGCACAGCAACCTTCCAACGCGCCGCTGGCAATGCGTTGTGACAACAAATATTCTACGCCCTCTAAGCAAACAAACATAGCCGGCAATTGTTGTTGGTGATAGATCGTTGGTGCTCTGAGTGTTGGTGGCTTAAGGGTGAGTGATAGGGCGACAGGGGCTAGTCATCTGAGTGTCTGAATGCTAGCAATATGAACTTCAGGGATCTGACACTGTTGTTGATCGGCAGGTAGGTGACCAGGTGCACATGAGGAGGAGGAGGAGACAGGAAGAAGTGCAAAGCCATACACAGAGAAACTCTATTGCATCCTCGGCACAATTGGATCAAACTTCAACTGGCCAATCTCACCCTCAATCTTGTTATCTGTGGTGTCCCAGATTGAAGTGAAGCGTGTCGGCTGCTCCTGGCCGGTCTGTGGTCCGGTGCACAGGGGCCTGCCCCAAGGAATTTTTGGGATGCAGTGGAGCAAGCCTCATCAGAACTTCTGCCATTCTAATTTGAAGGCCGCTGCTTCGAATCTCGTGGGACCCTTTATGACCCTTTGCCTATTTCAACTCATTTCCCTCATCTCAAAGTGCCCGATAGAGGTGCCCAAAGGTTTGACGGCTGGCACCAAGACACCTGCTCTGCTTCTGGTGCCTGTGCCTGCTCCACAACTTCCTCGGAAAGCAGCAGAAGCTGTCCGCTTGGTTCAGGCCCACTGTTTAACCGCTTGAAGAAGTGCTCAACGACTTCTCAAAAGCTTCGAAACCACTGCAAACACCAAGACACCGATTGTAGCGTCTCCTCGGGAATTGTGGGACGTGTTCTGGCATGGATATCCATTCTGAACCAGTTGAAGAAGCGGTCGGTGACTTCCCAAAAGTGTCTATTCCGAGTCACTGTCTCAATCTCATGGAATCAAACACACTGTTTTGCGTCCTGCTCTGGACGGGAATGGGAAGCAGCACGTGACCCAGGCTCCTGCCAAGCAAAGTATTTCGGCGAAGGCCACTGAGAAAACCGTTTAGTCAGCAGTGTCCTTCCAGCGCAATCAAAAGCGCTCCTTTGCGTCCTGCTGGAGATCTGCAGCACGTGACTCATCATCCTGCTGCCGAAGTCTGTTGTCGAAGACCAATTCGACAACTGCTCAACGACTCGCTACAAATATTCATTAAAGTCCTGATTGAGATGAGGAGCAGAAGCGGGTGGCACATCGTCCTGCTGCACAGTCACTAGCTCAAGCTCAGCGAAATACAAGTTTGAAAGCCAACCCAGGAGGAAACATGAAGTGCAAAAGTAAGATCATTGCTTCAACTTCACTTCAACTGGACACCTCATAGGCAAAATATGTTTTGAATACGCTGCCTCTGTATCTATGCGAAAGGAGCACTCTTGGTCCGATTGGAGCCTATATATCTTATAATGTTCACGCAGCTCACTGATCCGTGTTGGGATAAGATTCGGAGCATCATTTGCCAGCCGAGACACTGAGAGTACTTTAGCAGCGGCATCGCTTCGATACTCCTTCCCTCGTTCTGATTCTGCCTTTTTGAACTTTAAGGTTGCCAGAAACTCTAGCCAACCTCCTGCGATGTACTTGTTGACCACTATGGCCAAATGCTGCGCTCTCGTAATGCCCACGTAGAGCTTCGCTCGAGTCGTCAAATCCACCTCTGCAGCCTTGCCCTGGATCTCTTCGTCCAGGGCAATGCACACAACCATCAGATGCTCATGTCCTCTGGCATTGTCGATGGTGTCGAGCAAAATAAGCTCCTCTTGTCCTTCAACGAACTTCGTGGGCACGAAACTCAACGACTCTTCAAAGGAAACAAGGTGGAAGCGTTTATGTCTGAAACGCACTTTCAGCTGCTCTTGCAGGCGGACTTTGATCTGTTCCAAGAAGTGTTGGTCTGGGACTAGCAGGGCGAGGCGACCATGAAGGCTTCTAAGGCCCGGGTACACTTTGATCAGATGTGACAATGCGTTCAGGGTGTAGTCGCAGTACATGTTCACATCATCTTCTTCACTTTTCTCAAAGATAAAGGTCTTCAGTGCAGGGCCATCAGGGCCAATGCTTGAGACCTCCTGTGTCTCGCCGATTTGAAATGCTGATGCGCCCTTCACAAGACGTCTTGTACTACGAACAATTTCTGAAAGGCTTTCTTTCCTGTATCCAGGATACTTCTCATCCAGGTTTAGCGAAGAACACTGCGACTGATCTGATAGGAGCAGCTTCTTCTTCGCATTGATCTTGTCCAAAATGTGGCCGAAACCTTCTCGAACAAGCTCATGGCACTCATCAAAGACCGCCAGCAAGAAGTCCTGAGTGTGCACCTTCTCACCCTTATTCTGAATGATCTTATTGCCCTCAATCTGCAAAGTAACCAAGTCCTCATAAGGCTTTTGAAGCAGTACTATCCTTTTCATGATTAGGTTCATCGCATCATGGATTGATAGCTCTGTGAGTGTTGAATGTCTGACAGCAAGCCATCGAACGAAGTAGAGTCCAAGTGAGATGTGGGGAGATACGAATAACATTTGACCAGAGGAATTTTCGTCGTCCAACTTCAACTCGTCCAAGGCATATTGGATCGCTACAAATGTCTTGCCACAACCAGCGGGAGCTGTCAAGTGCAAGTTCTCGCCAAGCTGCTTGAGATTCTGCAGCTTCTGCTCTTGATGATCCGTGAGCTTTGATAATGTCAATAGGCTTTTCTCATAGCGTTCTAAGAAGTCGGATTGGTCAACATGGATTTTCGCGAAGGCACTGTGCTTCTTCGACAAGGCAAGGTCCAAAGCACCGCTCAGGACTTTGTTTCTTAAAGCTTGTGCGATCTGCACTTTCTCGGTGGTCACTTGGAACATCAAGGACGGGGTGCCATCTCGAAGGTGGGATTGAACTGGAGCTTGAACCTGGATTTCTTCTGAAGACCTCTCCATCTCCTGCAAAACACTCTTCAAGGTCTCTTGCAGGCCCGCCTGCTCGGCAACCTGCTTCAATGGGTTCTCAAAGTGCCGAACGTGCTTCGAAGCAAACAGCTTGTTCGTCTTGTCGCACTTCACTATCCACTTCGGCTCCCAAACTCTGCTCAAGGTCTCAGAACTTTGAGAATCAGGCATGGTCAACACCATGGTTCCTTCTCGCCAGCTGTTGCCATCGGTGGGATCTTCAGCAAAGACCTTGCAGTTCGGAGGGAATTCCTGAAATAAGAACCGCTTCACGTCGATTTCGTCGTAGTCCCAAGTGTCTCCTTCCATCATCCGCATGGCCTCCACGTAGGCAATCTCGGCTTTTTGGCTGCCACCGCAGCCCACACCGTCCCAGAGATCTCTGAAGGACAGCTCGTCCCAAGCCACCTTGCCCTGGCCCCTCTGTCCAGGGAAAAAGACCACTTGCAGTCTTTGGCCAAGCTGCACTGCCTTTTTCACCTTCAGGGTTCAAAGCTCTGATGGTGTAAATGGAAAGCACCCGGATCATGTAGGAACACAGAAAACAGATCACCGTCTCTAGGAAGGAAGATGACAGTCTGCTAGATGAAATGGCAAAGCTGAAGGCACAGTGGCGTATAAAAGGGTACCTTGATCCAGACTTGTTGCATCTAGATCACTCTTCATCAGTTGATTGCGGCGTGGCTGGGCGCTGCAGATCTGTGATGTCGAGGGAACTTTTTTTTGCGAATTGGTAAAGAATCCGCCGGCCCTGGGGCACGGCGTGTTTTGGGTAGTTGGTTTTTTGTTAGTTCTTTGTTAAGCTATGTCTTGTCTGTTTTAGTGCTCCCCCGGGCGGATTCTTGAACCGTCTAACCTGACCCCCCCCCTCCCCCCTTCCCCCCCCCCTGAAATGTAGAGGCCTACTTGTACAGGTTCCACTCCAGTGGCCTATCTAGTGTGTCCATGCTTGACTGCCATAAGGCTCAAGAAGACAAGAGGATAAGACTCTGCGTATAAAAGACACTAGCGGTCTGCACCTCAACCGTGTACGCCCTAGTCACTCTTTCAGTGGTAGCGGAGCAGTGATCCTGGAAGACCCAGGTGAGCTCCTTTCCTAGGCATAGACTTGCTTGTAGGCAAACGGCCATGGATTGGATAGACGACTGGGAAGAGCCTGATGCGGATGTGGCTTATGAGCCAGCAGCCTATGTGAACAGGCATGTGAGAAGAGAACCAGCAGCTATAGCAATGACAACACAGGTCACTACAAAGGTGCCCCCATCTTATGATGGAAAGACTTCATGGTTTTCCTATGAGGATGCCATAGACGATTGGTGCGATATCACCGAGCTGGAAGATGAGAAGAGAGGACCAGCATTAAGGAACAGATTAGAAGGAGAAGCAGCTGTATACAAACGTGTATTAGACAGAGATGCATTGAAGGCTAATGAGCCACCAGGAGCTGGAGTAGATTACTTCAAACGAGTACTACGACCATATTTCGTGAAAGGATCAACCAATGTATTCCTGTATAGGTTTATGCAATTCGTGCGCTTCAATCGCGGATCAGCCGACATGATGAAGTGGATGACAAGATTTCAGATCTTACTCCAAAGGCTTATGAGCAGTTGGATGGACATGTTGGATCCAGTCACACAAGCACATCCTCAGGTACTAGCTCAGATGCAAGCTGATGCAGCGATGACTGGAGTAGCTCCAACAGCGGAAAGAATTCAGGAAATCATGCAGAATGTCAATGGCAATCTGAGACTTTTACATCAGAACGATTTTCCTTTGGGAGAAAATCTCATTGCCTTACTCATGCTGTCACTTGCGGATTTGTCTCAGGACCAGAGGAACACTTTGACCTCTTTGATGACTCATCGTGGTAGGGTCCTGCAGCAATACACCACAACAGAGTTGAGGACAGTTTTCATTGAGATGTTCTGCGCAACAAAGACTTCAGTAGACAATCCTCTGATGCAGCCAACAGGTGCTGGAGGTAGAAGATCATTCCTCGTGTTAGACGAAGGAGAACTCGATGGTACATTTGGCTATTGGGCCGAAGATGAAGAAGATGGAACAGAAGGATTCCTTGATGCCCTGGACGATGTCTTTTGGGTATATGATGAACAGAATTTCTCTTGGTTCCAAAGGAGATTCCAAGGAAGAAGAGCCAGAAAAGGCAAAGGTAAAGGAAGAAGAAAAGGAAAAGGCAAAGGAAGATCAGGCCGCAGATTTTTCAGACCTCGTGGAAAAGGAAAAGGAGGAAAGAGACGAGGTAAAGGCCATTATGCTGATGAGCAACCGCCAACTTATCCAGACGAATATTTTGAAGAGAATCCTTATGAGGACACTTGGGAGTCAAACCAAGTAGCATATGACATTCTTGCTGAAGATATGAATGACTATCTTCAAGGAGAACATGAAGATGCCAATGACTTTTGGCAACAGCTTGAAGAAGCATGGTTTTCCCACAAAGGAAAAGGAAAAGGTAAGAGAAAAGGCAAGAAAGGAAAAGGAAAAGATAAAGGAGATGGAAAACAAGATTCAAACTATGCAAATCAACAACAGCCACGTTCTTTGCCTGCACCTTCAAGATCTTCACAAGCATCAGGAAGCAACCAAGGTTTCTTTGCACATTGTGTGACAACAGCAGCTGAAGTCAATGACAATGAGGTGAACTTGCTGTCAGGCATGATGACCTCATGTCAAGATGAAGCTGACTGTAAGGTCAACAATGGTGAGATGATCTTCGATGACATGAGTGCCCCTGTGAGGTACTCTTTGTCAAAGGAGATGCTCACAAGTGCTCCTGATGGCTTTGCGCTTATGAGCGCTGAAGAAGAAGTGAAAGAGATGCAGGCTATTTCATTTTTGACTGAGAATCGCTTCCCGCCAACTATTGCAATCCTGGACATTGGATGCACTAGAGCTATGGGATCAAGGCGTGCAGTCGATTATTTTTGTAACTATGTCGACAATCACCCAAATTGTGGACTATGGTACTCTTTTGAGGCTACCAAGAGCAAGTTCTACTTTGCCAATTCCCAGAAGGCTTCTTGCTCTCAGAAACTGGTGATTTACATGTATGATCGTGCATGGACGATCCACAACACAGAGTTCGACATAGTAGAAGAAGGAGAAGTCCCTTTGCTTATGAGCTTACCGCAGATGAGAAACTTAGGCTTTGAACTCAGGCTGACACCTCAACACGCTTATCTGACATCGGTGCCTCTTGGTATCAAATTTTTGGAGTTGAAGGTTGCAGCCAGTACTCATCTTGTTTTGGACTTCCAAGATATTGCATGGCATCTGTCTGACGTGCGTTTGCAGGCTCGGCGTGAGAAGAGTTTTTACTCTCACTTCACTCACTATGAATATGGCCATATTTCTGTTGATCACAATAGTGATGAAGATGAAGCTGAGCGTGCATATCCTGTGGTTGACTACTGGGAAGTAGATATTCACAAGAGAGAACTGATACGTCACCACAAGGATTACAGGAAGATTCTTTTCCCAGCAACTAAGTCCTGTCCTGTAGACACTGACTTGCTGGAAGACTTGCGATTGACAATCATCAAGAAGAAAGAAGGAGGAGAAGAAATCAAGAAGCTAGATGATTGGCGCAAGGCAAAATGGAAGGACCTACAAATTGGCTATGAATGGCGTGGTAGAACAATTTTTAAGTTCAAACCAGATGCCAAAATTCCAGATCTAAAGATCAGGAAGGCTGGCATTGAGCACCGTGGCATTGGTGATCCCGATGCAGTGGTGCGCTCCTCCTCAGAGAAGGTTCCCATTGCAAAGGACAGGGAACCAGGCTTCTCCTCAGAGAAGGAAGGTGCACCATCCAGTGCCGCGGAAAAGCCCGTGCCGCCAAAGTTTCGGTATACTTCCAAGGGTTTTGATCCATTTTGGAAGGGTCACAAGTCGAAACCATCTGAGCCTCCAAATGATTTAAAGGGTGATGATCTTGAGGAGTATGCTCCCTCAGAACCACCTGAGAGGCCAGAAGGTGAACTTGTAGAAATTCCTAAAGCATCAAAAGGACCATCAAGTGATAAACATGAACCACTTGAACCAGGTGATGGCGCTCTTGAGCCTAGGCGGATTTCAATCCCATTACCTGGTAGTGAAGTTGTTGCAATGACACCGGCATGTAGGAAGATGTTGCAGAGACTGGAGGACAAGGTAGAACTTTACAAGCTTCATGTGAAGCACTACCATATGAGTCCTACTCAGTTTCGTAGACGTGTTTCTATGTTGAAGCTTCCTGACTCTGTTCTAGAGAAGTATGAATCAGTTGTCAGGAACTGCCGTGTTTGTAACACTTCAGTGGCACCTCCGCCACGAGCCAGAGTCTCCGGTATTAGAGCTTCATGTTTTGGTGATGTTGTTTTTGCTGATCATTGTGAGGTTGAACTTCACAAGAACAAGTATATCATTTTACTTGTTCTTGATGGTGCCACAAATCTTCTCTGGGCTACGGCGCAGAAAGACCTCATAGATCAAACCACCATCCAAGCATTGAGGCAATGGTCTGATGAGAACAACTGTGTTCCGAAGGCCATCGTAGGAGACGAAGCCTTTTTCGCAGATGCTTTTGTTGAATACTACAGGTTCCATGGTATACAACAATGTCCTTGTGGACCAAGAACTCCTTGGCCGAACCGAGCAGAGACAGCTGTACGTTTGTTCAAACGTATGTGGCATGTTATGAAGGTAGATCTGGATGACCCACGTTTTCGTGGTGTTACGGTCAGAGAAGTGGTCAAGAAGGTAGTTTGGGCAAGGAATTGTCAGTTGACTATCAGTGGATACTCACCAATAGAGATAGCAACTGGAAGACGTCCACCAGATCTTTTTGACCTTGAGACCGCAAGCCCTGAGCAATTGTCAGCCAATGCAGCCGCACAAGATCGTACAAATCTGGAACTACAACGTGTGGCTTTGAGAGCTCATCAAGAAGCACGACAAGCTCAGGACCTTCGAGCAGATCTTGCGAGAAGGACGATGCCAAGTGACGGTGCTTATTTCCAAGGAGAGAAGGTTTTTATTTGGACTCAGGATTCATCAAAGTTCAAGGACAAAGGACGTTGGGTTCGTGCCACAATACTTGGACAAGAAGGAGCTATGGTCCAAGCCAACACTGGCAAGGCAGTGGTACGTGTGAATCAGTCGAAGGTTAGACGTGATCACGATGAGTGGCATGATGTTTCCATACCGGCATTAGACGATGAGAATCCGGAGAACTTACGTGAAGATCACGAACTGTATGTTGATGCCGAATTTGGAGAACAGTCCTTTTTCTTTTGTAATGATGATCATCCTGATGTTGTTGAGTTACTTCATGGAAACAGTGGATTGTCTTGGTTCCTTTCAAAGAATGGTGTTAGAGTTGCATCGCCTATGGATTTCAAGGCAGGATACAACTTTTCCACTCTGAAGGGTCAAGATGGTATTTGGCAGCAACTTGAGAGTTTGCAGCCCCACTG